GCGCATACGCACGATGTTCCGTTGCATATTCCGAAACACTGATATAGCAGTAACTATTTATAAAAAACAATTTTTTACGGATGACAACGGAAATATAACAATAAAGATGGGGAGGAAGGACTATAGGAACCACGTAAATAATACAAAAAACATATTTTTAGACCGATTTATGAACACTTCGGTGTCATAACATATATTTATTTTTAGCTATAGGATCCTTCAATTTTCTTTTATTGTTATAAGTAGTCATAAACTAGTCATTGTTATATTATTATCGTAGGTGAAAACATATTAAGTTAATCAATTACATATAAAAAAAAATAATAATAAGGTTATTAATTATTATGATAATTTTAACAAAGTCTATAAATAATAAATACTAAATAGGTATAAAATAATAATAACGTAGATAAGGATTTAATTACGAAGTTTTTATTTTTCTTGGTGGGGAAAAAATTTAAAAACAAATCCGATAATCCATACATCTCTCAGACATTACAATATATTATTCCAATGACAAAATTGTATTTATTGTAAATGTATTTTTTTTTTAGTATACCAACATGAATTAACTCTTTTTCAGCTAATACCAATACCAAATTGTGACCAAAATAATTGTTTATATGTAAAACCTAATCATAAGTATTTAGCTATAAGTAAATCAAAAGAAATGTATTCCACCTATGACGAAATCGATAGAAGTCAATGTAAACATGCCAGTGATTTCCTCATGTGTCCTGAAATATATCCTTTACATCCTAGAAGTGTACGCCCCATATGTGAGGTGCGTCTACTACAAGATCCAAAGGAAGTTCCGGTTAAACACCGAGAGACTTAATCAAGCAGGAAGCCCTAATACCACGGAGCACGGCATATTCCATGTATCCAACCATTTCATCTTTATGATACGGAGTATCATTCTTACAAGGGAGGAATGTAGTAAACCGACGTTTTTACACAAAAACGGCGTTCCAAAGGTTAGGTGGCCTGAACAACATCACGCCACCAAAATAGGCCACTGAGGCTGCCGCCTCATTGGTTAATACTGATCATCTACACATCACGCCATTCCTATGACGTCAATCATCCTTTCCTAAATCCCGGGCATGTCTCATATAAATAGGGGCCCTGATTCACAGACTTTTTAGACATAGAAGTAATTACCAGTGCATTACAATACTTGTGTGGGTCGCGGACTAGAAACAGCCGCATTGCCGTCCACATCAAGTATAATTTAAATTACAACTATTCTCCGGTAGAATTATTATTCTGTCGACAAATTTTAAATTACTTAAAATTAACTATATTATTAGTTTCGTGTTAATAAACATTATATCTATAATTAACTACATTTTGTGTTAAACTATTCTTACTCTACCTTCACTTCAACCACCATCCTCCGATGCATTGCGACGATGTGTACGTGCATTCGTCGTTAAAGAAGTGTGCAGTAACCAATCAAGTGAGAGCGACGGGTTACTACACTACTCTCGTTTAAGCGACGCCCCTCCTCGCCGGGACTCGTTTTTGAAAAAGTAGGGCTGCGCGCCGGTTATAAATTTAGCGGGGAACGCGAATAAAATCCAAACGGGGAGGGCGATACGACCGAAAGGGGATAAAACTCAAATTTTTTAAAAATACGGCAAAAAACACGTGCGACGGCGGCGCTCGTATCGCACGCGATATCTGCCACCGCGGGCCGGCCGAGAATTAAGTAGACAGCGCCGTCTATAAATTTACCGAGGAACGCGAATAAGGTCCAAATGGGCCCTCCCGAGGCACCCTAGGGGGGTAAACCTAAAAAATGTTGAAGAAAAATTGTGAAAAATTGTCAAAACCGTGAAAAGTGATAAGGAGGAAAGATAACGCAGCGACGGCTCCGCAAAAAACGACGCGATGCATGTATTTATGCCTGTATATAGCGATACCTACTCTCGTTTCCGCGACGCCACTCCTTCCCGGGACTCGTCTGTGGGAAAGTATAGCCGTACGCCGGCTATAAATTTAGCGGGGAACTCGAATAAGTCGTCGACGGGGAGGGTGGTACCACCGAAAGGGGCTGAAACTCGAATTTTCGAAAAAAATTGCAAATGAAGCAGTCATATAGTCGTACTATTTTTTAATATAGTTTATTAATATCGGATTAAACAGTATTTATAATCTGTAGCAGTATTTAACCCAATATTTAACCCTAAAAACTGTAATATATCAAGTAGGTACTGCATTATAATTATATTGTAGGTTGGTCACGGTAAAATCAAGTATTAATTATTATTTTTTTGCAAAATAAATATAGTCAAACGAATAATATAATATATATGAATACCGATATATATAATATTATAATAACGTGAATTTTGAAAAAAATCGGAACATTCGTTAACAATGATTAATGTGACCAAAAAAAAAATGCGAAAAAAAAAGTTCCATTTATCACGGCCACCGCAAATTATCTATTGTCCTGGCGGCGGTTTCGAAACCACGACCCTCGGGTCACCTATCCTAACGCCTAACCAACCTAGCCACCACTCAGATGAAATCCCGGGTCAAATGTATGACTCTTAAGCCGCGTCGCCGTGCTCGCGAGAGGCGAACGCCGTTTGGACGGCCGGCAAAGGGCGTTTGAGCGGGCGATCCGACGCCCTCGAACGTATAAAACGTGAGATTTGCGAAAAAAATCGAACCTCAAGTCGCACGTATTTACGCCTGTATATAGCGATACATACACGGGACTTACTCTCGTTTAAGCGACGCCGCTCCTCCCCGGGACTCGTTTTTGAAAAAGTAGGTCCGCGCGCCGGCTATAAATTTAGCATGGAACTCATGACAAATTAAATAGATATGTCAGCAATATTACGGATTTAGAAACAAATCGCGCACCCACCCTCCGCCCAGCCATTTACTGTGACGTAAGCATTTCTCTGGTTCTCATTGGTCCACCGCCGTCACTGCCGCAATAGCCGCCGCCGCCGAAGACTCCACCACCACTCCACCGCTCAACCTGTTGGAGAAATGCTTACGTCACAGACATGCGTATCACGAGTTGCTGACATACCTATTTATTTTGTCATGGTGGAACTCGAATACGTCGCCGACGGGGAGGTCGGACGTCACGTAGAGATGCTAAACACGACTCTAGTCGAAAAAGTCGAGAAAACCGTCGAAACGGCCACGACGCGGCGCTCTCGGCGATCGAATCGTCCGCCGGGGGACTCGTTTTTGAAAAAGTAGGGCCTCGTGCTGACCATAAATTTATCGGGGAACCTGTTACTCCTCAAAAATGTTGAAAAAAATTGTGAAAAATAGTCAAAAACGTGAAAAGTGATAAGGAGGAGTGATATCGATAATTTGCGGCGGCCGTGATAATTTGAATTTTTTTTATGCCTTTTTTTTCGTCGTTTCGCTATCACTTCCGTCTTATCATTTTTAACGTAAATGTACCGATTTCTTTCAAAATTCGAGTTTTAACGCCTCTACTGACTTCGGACCTCCCCGTTGACGACTTATTCGCGTTCCCCGCTAAATTTATATGCCGCGCGCGGCCGTACTTCCTTCCGGACAAGTCCCGGGGCGAAGCGGCGTCGCGGAAAGCGGACGGCCCGCGGCCCCGCCGTCGAGTAGATATCGCTATATACAGGCTTAAATTCTAATGCCCTCAAATATTTTTACCCCCCTTAAAATTTTACCAGGGGTATAAATATCCTAGGTTTATTTTACTCCCGGTAAAAGTATACGGGGGTAAAAATTGCCTGTTACACCCCTCTAAGTACCATGTAAATTCACTTTTATACAATAAAAATTCTGAAGTAGAATATCGATGCATTTCTCCAAAATGTGGTAGAAACAATTATAAAAAAAATACACATCATAGTTACACAACTTGTTACTTCACATATTTTTCAGACTAATTATTAGTATTATAAGTACACACATAGAAATCTGATGTTATTTTAACCACAATAAGTGTCAATGTTATACACATTTGAACGTCGTTTTTGAGCTAAGGCTGATTTGGGGTTGTTTTAACATTTATTTATAATTTAAACTTACATGGTATCTAATAATGTCAATTTAACATTATTTGCTGTTAAAATAACATCAATTTATATTAAACCAACTTAATTCTATTGAAATTAAATATGAAATATTGTGTTCAAAATAACTTTTATGTGATATCAATGTAGTCAATTATTGGAGTGTTAAATTAACTACTCGTTGAATTTATTTTCACTTTATAATACCTTTTGTAGGGAAAATAAATTCTGTATTTTAAATAACATTTAATATTTGTTGATTTAAATATCCAAATAAATTCAATCAAACAAATATGAAGAGGTCGATAGAATCACAACATTGAATTCAAAATAACATACCTCGCCAAACCAGGTGTGGATTCAAAAGAGGGTGCAGGGGGCTTTACCCCCCACCTCCATTGAATTTTGATATTTTGATATGATAAATATTAAATAGTTCATGTCTTAAAATTCATAAATTATAAAAATATAAACAAAACTGTTGATATTATTATCAAATTTTATCTATAAATTATAATTCTATATTCTGAAATTAGGTTTTTATTCTGAAAAAATTTGACCCTCCCCTGATTCTGATTTCTAGATCCGCATTTGTGCCATACCAGTAAAATATTTCAAATATGTATTTATAACAGAGAACTAACAGAGAAATAAGGTATATACTTTTATACTTATAACTCAATTATAGATAAATACTAATAAGTAATAAGTAATAATAATTAATAAACACTTTATTATAATAATAATTTATTATTTATTGTTTTTAATTTGTAGGTTTACAATTAGAAGTTTTGTCTTATTCTTATATATTGACATAAAAAAGCTATACAGTTATACAGTTAATACATTATACATATAACTAGTAATTAGGTACATTCACACAATAAATACATTATACATACAATAAGTAATTACATTTAAAACAATATATATATTTAAATATAATAATTACATTACAAAACTTTTTTAAGTAGCATATCTTAATGTAGCATATGTTTTAAAATTTCCAATAGTACGAGCTACAGTTGGTGTTGTATTAGATAATTCACTAATGTAACATCCTATTAATTCTGTGTAATTAATTAAATCAGAATTATCAATTTTAATTTCAAACGCATGAAAATGAGAGTCGAAACCAACTGTGTACACACGTTTAACTAAGAAATAAGGGATTTTAGATTTACCAACAAGTATAAAAATTACTTCACCAAATACACATTGATCTAGATAAGATTCTAAAACCAAAAGAACTTTTTTTTTGTAATAAACCCCCTTATATTCCAACCATGAATATGAAAAACAATCTAATTTGAGTTCATTTGGTATTTGGGTAACTAAATTACCAGGAAATTCTAAAGATGGATGTATTTCTTTACCCAATCCTAGTTTTAAATCTGATTCACCAAGGCTAGCATTAGTGAGAAAACGCATCACCATTTGCAATTGTAATTTGTAAGACAAAGTATAGCCTAAATTTATACGGCAAGGAATTGCATTTGCAATAGCTTTCAAAACTTTATGTTTTGCTTCAAACCTTATGCTTGAAGTCAAAATAATAGGGCCATTTTTTTACAATATTCTACCATAGTGTGTCAGTAAATGAAATTTAGGCTTTAAATTACTTTTAGACAGTGATAAGTATAGTCTGTTATGTTCAGAAATTAGGGAATCTAATAAAACACAACTATCACGTTGTATTTTTCTAGCACAACATAAGTCTATTATTTTATGTAAAAGTAAATATAGTTTCCAATATAATGACTCGTAAGGAACCAACTCTCCAACCATCAAACAAAAATATCTTACACAACATAGCATTTCTGATGCAGACATAATAATACAACCTTTTTTAATATCACTATCTCGAATAATTGGAGGAGAATTTTTTTTTCTGTCACACCATAGTTGAACATTATAATTCGATTATTCAATTCCTCTAATGTAAAGTACTTTTGTTCAATAAGTCCATAAATAATGAGAGCCATATCATAACGTGCTACACCTTCCGGAATGTCATGCATAAAGTCAAAAACAATATTATTAGTGCAATGAAAATAAGGAATTTGATGAAAAATAGATGGTTCATTGACACCAGTTAAGGAAGGATTCTGAGTTGCAAGGTCGGTTTCATAGTTTTGTATGTTTCTAATTGAAATATCAGATTCGACACACATTTGTTGCATATCTGATTTGTGTGACCGACATATGCGACAATAGAAATTTGCAGAAAAACTACTAACATTACCAAGAATAGAATTCAATCCCAAGTTATCGCCTAAAACCAGACCTAAAGCAAAATAAATAGTTAGCTCCATAGAATCTATCATTATTGTTATGCCATTTTCTTGCAAATCTAATAACTCTCTAATCAAAGCAGAAAATAATTGCTTATTTGAAAACTTTTTTTTTTTATCATTTGAGTGAAATAAATAAGCTGTAAAAATGTTTTCAAGTGAAGAAAGATATATATATATATATATAATATTATAATAATAATATATATATATTCAGGAGGGAGTGCAGCAATTGTATAGTAAACACCTCCCATTTTGTGGATTCCCGAATGTGATCCTAGAGGATTTCCGATCTCAACATCGTCATAATAAAGAAAAATAGGTAAAACAATTTTACCTTTGAATTTAATTTGTATGTTTCTCCATGTTGATCCATTTAAAAACGATGTTAATACTTCATTATTTTTGGATGTATCATCTATATAATTTATTATTGTATTATAAACAGAGTTGCAAAAAGTTTTTTAAATTCAGTTTCATTGACAGAAGGTGACATTGAACAGGTACCATAGCAAGAGTGTCAATATTATTAATCGTTTTTTTTTCATTAGTATAGCCAATGATAACAGTTTCTGGTTTAAAAAATAGATTATTTTAAAAAAAAAAATTGGTACGATGGTATTCAGTTTTAACTTGAGAAAAAGCATTTTCTAAAGCATCAAACATGTTTTCAATTTCAGATTTTTTATATTCATTAATTTTGTTAAGAATGGGCATAACATTGTGTTTTATGTCTGATATGATACCACAAGAAAATATACCTTCAACCCCACATATTATTTCTTGTAATAGTGAGCTAGTAACATTTGGTTTGGAAGCCAATTTTGAAATAAACATTAAAACACTTTTTTCAACCTTATTTTTATACACATTATCTTTTCTATTATCAGAATTGTTGGTAGTTGACGCAAATTCATTTAATAAAATGGCTTCTTCAGAAAGCTCATAATCAAGTTTTAAATTACTATTTAAATTAGTGTAATTACATAAATTTAAACTAGTAACACTACTATGTGAAACATCTATGGATAACTCTTGAAGGAAATCAGCTTCAGTTGTATGTAAAGAAGAATTTGTATTATTAACTGGATCGTCTGGATCAGTTAAAGAATGGTGTCTTTTTAAATGTTGTCGGAACTTATCTAAACCTATCAGTTCACGACAACAAGAACTTTGCTTACATTGAAAAAAAGAATTTTTAGTCATATTATGAATAAGCTTTAAATGCCAAATTACCTGTGGTATACTTCTATGGACAGAAAAACATAAAAAACATTTATACTTCAACATTTTAAAAGAAAATAAATCCTTTTTAATAGAAATAAAATAAATGATTAACCTTTTTTTAAAAAAAAATCAATAATACTTATACATTTAAATAAATTGGTCATTAATGGACGAAAGCACAGCTGTCATTAAATCATAATCAGTTTTCAAACCGTATAAATGGTGTTGGAAAAACATCCAAGATTCATAACACTCACGAGGGTACACGCAGTTGAACGTGAAGTATGCTTTGAAACATGAATCAAATGCTTTTAATGGGCAGCTAAATTTCCATAGTTGGTTGTCCACACGAATATAAGTTTCATCAATGGAAAATATATCCTTTCCCACATGTAAGGTTGGATTTGACTCCTAACATGCTGATATTTTTCTCGTCTTTGTGCTATATCGGTCTCTAATTGTGATATGTTCTACACAACAAATATACACAATATATAATATTATAAGCTGAAAATTTGAATATAATAGTTCTGATAAAACTTACAGCAATATGTGTAATAAAAGCAGCTGCAGACTCTCCTGATGATGGTTTTCAATTCTTTTTATTACTTTTAGGGTCAGAAGATTTTATCAATGTCTTAGTTGGTAATAGACAGGGTATAAGTTGTAATATCAAAACAATACTAACTATGCCGTCTACAAAAACTTATAATAATGAATTATAGACAAGGTATAAAATATAAAAACAAAATATTAAATTTACTTGATTGTTGAAAATGTTCTAATTGTTTGATCAAATCTTTAGCAATTCTATCTTTAATTGATACTCTTCTAATATTTATCAGTTTATCAGTCACTAAAATCCACTTTTCATAAAAAGTGTTCCAATTCTGAAACAACTCTTTTTGCATAGGATATAATGCATTAAAATCTTCACATACCTAAAATCAAAGAATATTACAATTAAATGAGAAAAAAAATGTTATTAGCTCATGTATTTTAGGCATGCAACATCAGTGCCGTAGACAGGAATTTTATATGGGGGTATTACATGTTATAGTCAATTATTAAGAAAAAATTATATATTAAAATGTATATGCTTTTCATGTTGTAAGGGGGGTTTGAATCCCCCACCCCCGTGTATACAGCCCTGGCCAACATGTTTTATAAAAGACAAATTTAATTAATACAGGCGTGCACAGGGGGTATGCCGGGTATGCAGCTGCATACCCTGAACACAGCCTTATTTCCAGACGTAACAAAGATAAAAAAAAATCATAACAATATTAATTGGTCTTAAAACATGAAACGATAACAAAACAAATTTAAGTCAATTTGGGTGCTAAAAATAAAAATGCTCTGCATATAGCTACAATGGTTAAAATATTATGATAATGTATGTTATGTATTTTTGAAAAATTTAGTAACATATTAAAGACGTTTGCAGTAATACCAGTCAGAATCTGTACATGTGAACAATCATTTTCTAAATTAACTTTAGTAAAATCCCAACTAAAAAGTGCCTTCAAGAAAGATTAAATAACTTAATTCTTTTAACTGCTGTAAATTTAAATCCCGAAGACATAATTGATGATTTCAAAAACTCTGTCCAACGTAGAACAGTGTTAAAATCAATTATAATTTTTGTTAAATTCATTTTGTTGTATTTTTTATTTATATGACCATGTTTTTGTTTATTTATACAAGTTATATGATTCTGTCGCGGTCGGTATTTCGGCGACGCGCGACGCCGAAATACCGGCCGCTACGTCATTCGTGTCACCTTGGGCTTTTCCTCTACCACAACCAGTATACCGTGTCAGTGGCGCAGTCGGTTTTGGATTTTGAATCTCGTGGCCCGTAAGGTAAGTCAATAATATATTAACCACAATACTTATCACGGGTGATCCCACGGGTACTCCACGTGTAGTAGCAAACATTTGTCTATGGACCACGTGGAAAGGCATGGTACTGGGTATGGAACAGGATAGTCTGACCAACAACACTAGCGTACAAAGGGGCATCAACCACCAACGGGTAGCCTCAACAAAACATAGTATAACGCATTTCGGTGATCTCGGGAAGCCCCAAAACCACGTGAGAAACGATACTGGGAGAAACCCATGGGCCGTTTGGAAAACACGTAGGGCACTTTCCGTGAACGCTGGGAATACCCGTATAGTTAATCGTGACACAAGGTTTCGCATCGGCGGGGACGGGGCAGTCGACGACCGAACCGACCACCCGTATAACGATGTCGGGAAAAACACAGCGACGAAACATACGGGCAAAACCCACACAACAGGGAACAAGACCAACAACAATCGGCACATCACAAACCTCGGGAAAACCCCTCCCGAACAGTGAATCAACGCCGAAGCAATGCGATTAAAGTCAAGGAACAACAACGACAACCGTACTACAGCTGAAAATTGACAAGACCAAAGTACTACAACTCAACAGTCTATACAAGGTGGGTACGACTCGAAGCCAACGGCAACGAGGCGCGCCCGGAACACCGAGAAAGAATCTAGAGGTTTATCCCCCCTGCGCACGTGGACGAAGGGTCAATCGGGTATCCCAACCGGTGACACTGCCACTCCAATGCTATGGTAAATAGGGGAGTAGGCAGGCACCATGTGTTACCGACGTTGGAGTCGTTAAGGCCGGTTAAACTGACAATCACGTCACACTGGCCGACCCAATCGAGGGCACAAGCGTAACCGACATTAGGAGTCAGTGAGTCTGGTTAAATTGACAAAAAAGTCACACCAGCAGATCCAATGGAGGGCGCAAAATCAACCAACAGCGAAGTCGAATGACAATAACCAATGACGACAAAAGTTATACCGTCATCGATCCCGTTGGAAGTAGGGAACCTGAACCAAAGTCACGAAGCGAGGGAAGGCAACGCCAAAATTCTAAAGAGCAAGTAAAAGACTGTAACACGAGGCAAAGTAGTGGACGGACCCATAAGGGGCTAAGTACGGTAACACCGGAAAAAAACCCCAGGTCCATACACCCGCAGGTGAAATGCAACGGGGAGATCACGAAAGGGTCCTCACAACGACCAAAATCGGACGGGACTCCCGGATCGAACAAAAGTGGCAGGGAAGTACAACACAGATACCACCCACCAAAGCGTCAGGAAAAGGTCAACAAAGTATCAGCAGTACAAAGAGAGAGGGGAAACCAACATCTTACAGGAAAACATGGACTTTACCAGCAAAAGGGGAAAACCAAAAATCCAGTTCGGGAAATACCCAGTACCGAACAACACCGGGTTTTTCCAATAACAACACATCACGAACGTCGGGAAAACCCCTCCCGAACAGTAGATGTCAAAAATGAAGGCCGAAGCAATAACATCAAAGTCAATGGACAGCGAACAAGCCCAAAATACTACGGCCGACGGTCTATACAAGGTGGAGGCGACGCGAAGCCAACGGCATTTCAGACGCGCCATGAACACCGAGCTCACAAAGGTAAGAGGTACCTCCCCCACGCACGTGAAAAAAGGTTTAAAAGGGTATCCCAACCGGTGTAACTGCTGCTTCAATACTATGATAAATAGGGGAGTAGGCAGGCACCATGTGTTACCGACATTGGAGTCGTCAAGACCGGTTAAATTGACAATCACGTCACACCGGCTGACCCAATCGAGGACACAAGTGTACCGACATTAGGAGTAAGTGAGTCTAGTTAAATTGACAATGACGTCACACCAGCAAGTCCAATGGAGGGCACAACCTCAACCAACAGCGAAGTCGAATGACAATAACCAATGACGACCAAAAGTCATACCGTCACCGACCCCGTTGGAGGCAAGGAACCTGAACCAAGTCACGAAGCAAGGGAAGAGAACACCAACTACCTAAAGAGCAAGCAAAAGACGAAGACACGAGGCTAAGTAGTGGATGGACCCATAAGTGGTAAAGTATGGCAATGCCGGAAGATAACCCCAGGTCCAAACACACACGCGGAACGGGAAATACCTAGTACCGAACGATTCCGCCAAACAATATATAAACGGTATGAACCCAACATACGGGTTTTTCCAATTCTAACTCCGAAAATGACAAAAGATTCAAGAGAAAACAACCGGAGACACCGTGCTGATTGGTGGCGGAGAGTGGCGCGACCGGCAACACGGTGACAGGTCACACCTAGCTTATCATCAGCACGACACGCCCGAACACACAGACATTCGGGCCGGGCCAAACCCAGAACCAGTCCTAGGGTTTTACCGAATCGGGGAAAACCACATCGAAAACATTCCGGGTTTTTCCCCCTAACGAACACCACGGGGGAAAACCTACATACGAACAACACACACGAGATGGGAAAACCAACGATGTGACAATCGGGGAATTACCCACCATAACCAATACGTTTTCCATGTAACATGTATTGTATTTATAGCAGGAAAACCAAGATGTCCTCACGTAACCAGCCGACAACGACGCCTTCCAACAGCAACGGAGATTTTAATCTGTCGATGGGCGACTACCGTCCCCACAGGGGGACCGTATCTGATGTGGTACAGTTGATCCTGGACCAGGCGTCCCTAAACCTGCTGAATGCGCGCCGGCTCGCTGGGCGGTCATCGGGCATACCTACATGGGAAAACCTGATGGCCGTGTGGCGACGGTACGGGAAGAACCAACCAAGGGTGGAAAAGGGTACCCAAACGCCATCGGCGGCCACGCCGACATGGGAGACCCCAACCGAGATGAGTCCAGAGGTGAGACCTGACGACGGACGGGCGCTGGCCAGGTGGGCCGTAGGGGCAACCCATCAAGACCTGCTGCAACATCCACTGATCCAGATCGCTCTGGACCGGGGAGTGGTGAGACCTCCACCAGCAGCACAGGCAGAACCCCGACGACCGGCGAGGAAGACGCCGACTGTCGACACCGGCAACACCAGGGTCGTGAGAACGAAGGCCGACCTCAAGCAGGGCGGAACGCCGCGTGACGACCCAAAGGTAGCCGACTTAATCAACTTGGACTCCAAGTTCCTCCAACTCCGGGTAGGCCCACAGGAGCTCCCGGATGTGGACATACTGTCGAGACTGCCGGACAGCGACGACGACGGCCTTTGAGTAGGTAGACGACGCGCTAAAGTCGGACGGCAGGTGGAGGGGACTCGGACGTCGGCAACGACACCTGACCTCGCCGCCGGCCGGGCGGACTGTCTTGTTCCGTACGCGTTACCGCGAGTTATCACCGCATGTTAATAAATAGTTTTGACGTATAATAAGAGTACTTAATACAATATACTAGTGTGCTGTTCTGTTGTTCGTGTCACCTTGGGCTTTTCCTCTACCACAACCAGTTTACCGTGTCAATTCTATGTATTACTCAAACCATTTTTGTTTTATTAATTTTGAATTTTTAATTCAATCTGAAATTTATTTACAAATTATATACCTATTTAATTAAACATAGTTAGTTTTAGTCAGACATTTTGCTATTTGTGTATTTTTTTTCACCAGAATTTTACATGCATAAAAGTTAAAATAACTTTCAGGGTTGCCAGGGGCAGCTTTCTATATACCCTGAAAAAAAGGCCTGCGAACGCCTATGTTAATTCATAATATACAAAATATAACAATTGAATTGATTTTTTTAACACTAGGACCCAATAAATCATTATACACTGTTTCTGATAATTTATTTTTTACATAATATTACCTATCTAACTAAAAATGTAAATTTATATGAACTCGTTAAAAATTGTTGTGTCAAAATAATTATACGCCTAAAACAATTAAGGTTGCCTTTCTTGAAATGCATTGTTACATGCGGCCCTTCAGGGATCCAAAAGCTGGTGTACTTGATAAATAATAATAGTCAATTAGAATGGTAATCAAATGTATTATATTAAACCAGACAAAACAAGCAGAATAATAGTGTTGATTGTAGTGAATTTGTAGCTCGTTCCGAAGTTGATAATCTCCGTGTAAGTCGTGTGTGATGGCTGGGCGGCTAAGCGAGTCGTGTGGTGTTCTCGTCTCTGGATACATCTAACTCAGGCTGTCTCGCTGTCCCCTATATATATGGTGGCGGCGTCCTTTGAAAGTGAGCGGCGCGTGTACAGTCGTCCTTGATATGGACCTCACGATTATGAAAGTGGTATTCGTAGTCGAAAACACTTTTGGGTGTGGTCGCATTCCTGGTTGTTATTATGAGCAAAATATATGATATTGCGTAATCCCATTACACCTCCCTACCAAAAAAAAGATTGTTAACCTTTAAGGGTTAAGAATCTTTAACATCGTTAATTAATAGTTTACAATGGCTGAATTACATTGTTTACATTGACATTTAAATTTTGTATACAGTTAACAATTTGATTATAGTATTACATTTGATTACAATAATGTGAGCATTTTACAATTTTAATGTCATCATTATTATTATTATTGTTTACAATTTTAATTGTGGTTAGTAAAATAAATTAATACATGATTTAATTAAACAATTAGTGTTAATAAAAATGATTAATAATCTTTAATAAAATAATATAGGTACCTGAAATTATAACATTATAAGCGTTACGTAAGTATACAATTTAAGTATTTCCCCTTTTATAATAATAATATTTATCTTCCACCTATATACTAATTTATGTGAATAATTGTTAAATTTGTCACAGACATATGCAACTATGGTTCTATTCAAGGTAATTCATCATGTAAGTTGGATCTCTAGTGTTTTCTATTATTTTTACTAATTGTTTGCATTCTCCATTACAATGATCATCTATGAAAAGTTCAAGGCTTCTAGTTATTTTATTTAAAGTTCTATGATCGTAGTGGTTATTTATTTTCTTGTTTGCCTTTAATATATGCCAATTAAAGCATACGGATTGTAACTTATTTTCTTTAACGTTATAAATATGTACTTCTGTTTTTAAAATTGTTTTTAGCTCCTCAATGAATCTAAAATATATAATAAATGTTAATTTATGTATTTGTTTTCATTATTTAATTTATTTTGTGTTATATTTATTTATTGACTAATAATTATTATTTATTTGCCTTAAAATTCCTTTTATATTTTTTGCTACTTTATATAATTTAATGGGCTTTATCTTTGTTACTATGTAATTGAATAGGCATTTCGTTAAAATTACGTCTGCAACTGGATCGTGACAATGTGTAATATTATGATTAATATCGCATGCTAGTTCATGAGCTTCTGATAGTCCTAACATTCTACCATTTTTATTTAATTTACCTAAATAACCTGAATATAAAACTTCCTTAGTCTCTAGGTTTGATAATTCTAATACAAATTCGTCATTATTCCTAACGCTAATTGCCGATATATTTAAATATGCTAAAATTCCTGTTAATCTTAAACGCTTAATTATCGTGATATCTGACGTTCCGTTCCAAAATACTATTAGCGGCTCCCTATCGTTTATATGCAAATATCTTTGCAAGTATACCGTAGACAAGGTTGATTCCCCCTGGCGACTTATACTGTTGTATAACTGTTCCAGCAATGGTTCAATCACTCTTGCCTTTTTCCCTCGGAATACTCGTTTGATATTCTGCACTGTTTTCTTTAGGTCGCATCGGCGGAATCTTCTTAACTTATCATCCTTTGTAAGTATAAGAGGACTCCCCTCCAATTTCTTGGGTTGGTATTTTTCTAAACTATTCGATATCGCGCCGGATACCAGTAATGTTTCGTTCTTACTGACGGTAAAGAACTCGAAATCCATTATAAAAAAGCGTACCTGTGAGCTAAAATAAAATAATTATTTTTCTTTAAACAAAACTTAAATTGGTTTTTTAGTATTTATTGCTATGTATATGATATATGATATATGATACATGATATATGATATTTGATATATGATATAGTTTCCTGAGGTTATTCTTCGAAAATCGTTTCAATGATGTCGCGTCTTGTGATTAGTTGTTCTATTAGTAAACCCAACTCTACACACATTGGTCGATTATGATTTGGTCTTAAGATAACTGTGCGTACAAAATCATTAACATGGATCATGACCCGTGCTAAGAAATTCGGCCTGAAAGGTATGGTCATATTACTATTCGCCCTTCTTATATGTTCTGGGAAGCAATGTAATCTGACTACTTCCCCTCGCATTATTGGTTGATTCAATTAGTTCGTTTTTTAACTCTCTGAGAAATTCAAATGTTTGTAGTTGCATTCGAACGGTTCGTGCTACAGGTGGTATGTTCTCACCCATTTTTATACTTTTAATTTTTACGTGTGCTTTTATATATTTTTTATTTTTGTTTTTCTTCTTAATTTCTGAAATAGTTAAAAGTTATTGTTATATAATTTTTATTTAGAATATTATTTACGTATTTATATATATTATTTTTTTTTATGCATGTAATATTATTTTATTTAAATTATAGAATATTATTTTACGTATATATATATTTTTATGCACGTAATATTATTTTATTTTATTTCATAGAATATTGTTATACGTATTATTTCTTTTATGCACGTAATAATGTTTTATTTTATTATTTACTTTCATTTATCTTTATTTATTTAAATTATATTATTATTATTCGTTTTCCTCTTGGTATTTCCTGAAACACAACTATTATTATTATATATCTATAATTTACATGATATATTAATTCCATTTATCCTTATTATCTGCTTATTGCTTATTTTATATTTATAACTTAGTATTTATTATTTTTATTAATATGTTACGTATTTATTTTCGTTTTGTATGTTATATTATTTTTTTGTATAATTTATTTATTATTAATTAAATTTAAAGTAAATAATTCGTTATGACTAGTGACTAGTGACTACTCTTAATACATTTTTATTCTATTTATCTTGGCGACGGTGGTGGAGTAAAGGGTGTCTCTTCATAATTTCGTACGTATTCATTTCTATTGGGTGTCCTATATCTAACTATTCTGACGGGTAATTCCATGACTTCTGTGATCCTGATATACTTGTATTTTATCATTATATAAATTGCTATTATTAGTATAATAGATATTGATGCTAGTACTATAACAAATTACTGTGTACAAATTATATTTATATTAAACTAAAATATCTTATTATATTCTTATAAAATTAAAACCATCTTACATAATCCGTTATATCTCTAGTATCGTGCAAATATCTCATATAATCTATTAATCGTTTACATGTGGGTGTCACTGGATCTGATGACATAATTAGAGTTAGAATTCGCGTAATTTTCGTTATTTCGAGAGTATTAAATGGTTCTTCCATACAATTATTCGCGGTATTAATATGTCCTATTAAACACCTCGGCGTGTGTTCCGGTCCTAAGGTATTTGTTTCATGGATTTCTTGTTCAATCGCCTTTCCTAGTTCCACAATGAATTTTCTTTGTCTGTTCCTAAAATTAAAATTAATTTTTATCGTATTTATTTTATTTATTATTATTTTGTATTATTTTCTTTTAAATTGGTTGTATCGTGATTTCATTTATTATTTCTTTCTCCGGTTACAAAAATGAATGTTCTGTTTCTATCCCTAAAATTAATATAATTATTCTAACTTAATATTGCTATATACTTATTATTTTTTATTTTTGCTATTTTTTTTTTTAATCGACTTGTGCGTCATTATAATATTTTTTTACGTTATTTCTATGTACAGTGATGACCTTGCGGCCTCGCTGTATAGCTACATTCTCGTTCCCTATAACTGCTGTGACCTCGTACGGTCCTAGCCAGATTGGATCGAGTTTCGTTCTATGATTATTATCTTTTAATAGTACTAAATCATTAACGTGTAGTTCTTGTGGATTTTCATTTTTATCATAACGTTCTTTACTTTTTATTTTATTTTTAATTAAATGATCTCTAGCTATCTTATGCGAAATTTGCATATTTTCTTTTAGATCGAATATATAATCATCATAATTGTAACGTGGTTCAGGTTCGGCTTTTAATCTAATCGGTACCTCCAACGTATGTCCATAGACTAATGCGTATGGTTGAAAATTAGTAGAAGTATGTACCGTTGAATTATATACAAAGAATGCAAAGGGTAGTAAATGATCCCAATTATTTAAATTCTTATCTACATAATGTCTTAAGTACTC